AAGATTCCGGAAGTTGGTGCCGTCAAAACGGCTCAGGCCCGTTTCTGTGCCAAACCAGATGAAGCCTTCTTTATCCTGGCTGATCCCATAGGTGGTTGATCCGGCAAGACCATCTTTCGTACCGTAATGTATATAGCTAAAATCCTGGGCCAGCACATCGAAAGCCGGCAGTAATAAGGGAAACAGCAATAAAAACAGGCTACAGGTAAATAGTCGGCGGGGCATATTGGTTACGGTTCTTCATCGGCTGTACAAGGTATAGGATCAGGCGGAGAAATTGGTAGCCGGGAATGCAGGTTGAATTGAAGAGCTGCTTGTTTCAGAATGCTGCCCCGGGCAGGTCTATTTTACAGCCTCCCTGCCGCTATAAATGCGCCCGATAACTCACTTTCTATTTCACAACCTATGCCCCAGCCAACAACGGTACCCGATACAAATCTGTCTATTGCAGCCTTGCCATTATGCGGACTGGACTAAGCACCGGTATTAAGTGCCGGGCTAGCAACTTAATACCGGTGGGCACCAACAGTATAAACTTATTCTCTGCCTATTATAACGTTTGTTTCAACCGGCGCAAACTGCCTGAAAATAGCCACAGGAGATCCATATAAGAGGGAACTACCCGATGCTGTTTCCGGGCTTTACGTACTTAAATGAGCCAGGTAAACGATAGCAAAGGGCTGCGGTCCGCGAGGTACGTTTCCGCCAACAACTTCCAGCGTCCAGGTTCCTGCCTTGGGTTTACTGATTTCAATCATTTCAACATTGTTGGTATTATCGAAAGACACTGGCCCATCCGGCTTTTGATTACCTACAAACTTTTTACCTTCCGGGCTGGTTAGGATTAAGTTGAGATTATTGATCAGTGTAGCCCCGGGATAATCGCTATAGGTCAATACCATCCTTAAGTTTACAGCATTGGACTTAATGGAAATATTCTGGGTAAAAACAGATCCTGTGGTGAGCCCATCCGGGATGTCCAGGAATACAGTTGTTGCCGGTGTTTTCGGACTTAGCACAGCATCAATGTTTACCCGCCCGAATCCCTGGTTATTATCTGCTACCCCTTCGATACCCGGCAACCGGGTTGCCCCTGCAATAAGTGCTGCTTTGAGCAGTGCAGCGGAGGGCGAAGAAATATTCTTCTTGGTACGCAGGTACTCACGAACGAGCCCGACGGATCCGGCAACAAGTGGTGTGGCCATGCTGGTACCACCCATATAAAAGTATTTGCCGCTCAAGGGGAAGGCAGCCCAGCCCTTGTTATTGGGAGCTATCATGCTGGAACGCGTGGAGAGGATGAATGTTCCAGGCGCGACCACATCAGGCTTAAAACGATTATCCCTCGT